CTTGTCGAAAGCTTTTTCTGCATCTATTGAGATGATCATGTGATTTTTGTGTTTTGCTCCATTGATATGGCGTATAACATTTATAGATTTTTGAATACTGAACCAACCCTGCATTCCTGGAATGAATCCAACTTGGTCATGATGTATGATTTTCTTCATGATTTGCTGGATTCTATTTGCTAATATCTTATTGAGTACCTTTGCATCTGTATTCATTAAGAAGATTGGTATGCAGTTGTCTTTCTCGGTAAGGTCTTTCTCTGGTTTTGGTATCAGTATGATCCTTGCCTCCAGAAATGCGTTAGGGAGAATTTCTTCCTTTTCAATTTCATTGTAGAGTTTGAGGAGCGTTGGTATTAAATCTTCTCTGAATTTCCTGTAAAATTCTGCTGTGAATCCATCAGGGCCGGGGCTTGTCTTTGTCAGTAGGTTTTCAACCATGTTTCAATCTCATTAATTGATATTGGGTTGTTCACAAATTTTACATTTCCTGGACTCAACGTTAGTAATTCATACATATCTAGGAATCTGACCATTTCTTCTGAGTTTTCTATCCTTTCGGAGTAAACATTTTCAAAGTAGGTATTAATGATCTTCTGAATTTCTGTGGAAGCTGTAGTAATTTCATCCTTTTCATTCCTTATTGCATGAACCTGAGTTCTTTCCTTCCTTTTTTTGATAAAGTTTGCTAGGGGTTTATCAATTTTCTTTACACTTTCAAAGAACCAGCTCTTTGATTCATTTATTTTTTGGAGGATTTTCTTTGTCTCAATTGTATTAATTTCTTCCATAATCTTTATAATCTCCACCCTTCTTTGGGCTTTGGGCCTACTTGTTCTTTTTCTAAAAGTTTAAAATGCAGCATTAGGCTACTTATTTGTTCGCTTTCTGTTTTCCTTATGTGCATTCACCACTCTAAATTTCCCTCTGAGGATTGCTTTCATTGCATCCCATAGATTCTGGTAAGTTGTGTTCACATTTTCATGTGTTTGTAGGTATGTTTTAATTTTCTGTTTAACTTCTTCTGTGACCCATTGGTTGTTCAGGAGGTTGTTATTTAATTTTGAAGTGTTTATGGAGTTTTTGGAGTTCCTTTTGTCATTAATTTCCAGTTTCCTTGCACTGTGGTCAGATAATATGCACGGGATAATTTCAATTCTTTTGCATTTAGGTAGGTATGCTCTATGGGGTAGGATGTGGTCTATTTTAGAGGAAGACCCATGTGCAGCTGAGAAAAATGTGTAGTCTGATGTTGTGGGATGGAACATTCTGTATACATCTCCTAAGTCCATTTCTTCACAGCTTTGATTCAGATCTATTATTTCCTTGCTGATGTTTTGTCCAGTTGACCTATCTCTTTGTGTCAATGGGGTGTTCAGGTCCCCTGTTACAATAGTGTTATGAATTATATGGGTTTTCACGCCTGATAAGGGTTGTTTTATATAATTTGGACCTCTGATATTTGGTGCATACATGTTTATGATTGTTATCTCATCTTCTTGCAGTTTTCCCCTGACAAGGATGTAGTGACCTTTATCTCTTTCGATTGTTGTTGGTTTGAAGTTTACATTGTCTGCAAACAGAATTGCTACACCTGCTTTTTTCTGGGTTCCTGTTGCATGGAGGATTGTTTTCCATCCTTTGACTTTTAGTCTGTGAATTTCCTTTTTAGTAAAATGTGTTTCCTGTATACAGCATATTGTTGGATTTTGCTTTTTAATCTACTCTGCTGGTCTTTTCTTTTGACTGGAGAATTGAGGCCATTTACATTTATAGTTATAAATGATATGTGTTAACTTATCATTTTCACGTTATTTACTTGTGTTGGTGTCCTGCTTCTTCTACCTGTTTACTTTCTTGCTCTTCTTGCCATTTCAATCCTACTGTTGTTCTTGAAATTGCAGTCATATTTTTCTCTGTCTAGGATATCTTTTAGTAGCCTTTGTAATGTTGGCTAGGCGCTCATGAAGTTCTTCAATTGTTCTTTGTCGTGAAAATATTTTATTTCTCTGTTGAATTTGAGGGATAGTTTGGAGGGTACATCAGTCTTGGTTGGAAGCTGTTCTGTCTTAGAACTTGTAATACTTCGCTCCAAGCTCTTTTTTTTTTGTTTTTTTTTTTTCCTCCAGTACCAGGAACCGAACTCACGACCTTGCGCATGCCAGGCAGGCGCTTTTGCTGCTGAGCTAAATCCCCAGCCCCTCCAAGCTCTTCTTGATTGGATGGTTTGTGCTGAGAAATCTGCCGCGATTCTGATGGGCTTTCTCTTATAGGTAATCTGTTTGTTTTCTCTAGCAGGTTTTTTTTTTTTTTTCCCCTCTGGTACCAGGAACCGAACTCACAACCTTGCGCTTGCCAGGCAGGTGCTTTGCTGCTGAGCTAAATCCCCAGCCCCTCTAGCAGCTTTTAATGTTCTGTTCTTTTGCTGGAGATCTGGGAATTTGACTGTTATATATCTGGGTGTAGTTTTATTTTGGTTGTGGTTGTTTGGAGTTCTATATGCCTCATTTACCTGAAAATCAGGTTCTGTTTCCATGCTTGGGAAATTTTCTGCTATGATTTCTGCAAATATTCTTTTTATGTCATTTGTGTTGCCTCATGCTATTTCATTGACTCCTATAAGTCGTACATTATTCCTCTTTGCTCATCTTGCAGCTGTTGAATTGATGTTTCTTCGATCCTTGTTGATTTTACAAGATCCTTTCTTTCATGGTGGCTAGCTGCCATGCTGTCTTCAAAGTCTGAGATTCTATCTTCAGGTTCATTAAAGTGGTTTTGTCAGCTTTCAATGGCAGCTTTGTTTTCCTGAAGTCTCTTTGAATCTGGTTCATGCATTCTAAGTCCTTTCCATATTTTTCATTTAACACTTTTGTTCTTTGCCTTTGTTCTTGTATTTTCTTATATGTTTCTTCTCCAGAATTTTTTAGCAGATCTTTCATTATTATTGTCATTTCAATTTTTGCCTGAGAGATTATTTCTGATCTCATCTCTTTTATGGCCTTATGGAGTTGTTTCTTTACTTCCATTGCAATCATTTCAGCTATTTCAGGCATGTGATTACCACATTCTCCTATGTTGCTTTCTCCTGGACTTGTTCTGATTGGGGAGAAGTTCTGGGATTGTGTTTTAGTCCTTCACTTTGTCATGTTTTCTACTGGATGTAGAAAGGTCAGTTTCCCTCTTTAGTGGCTGCACAGCAAAGGCCACTAGTGTCTTCAGTTCTCCTGTTGGTCAGGTTTGCCCCTCAGTGACACCTGAGAAGCACTACTTAGTCTCTGGTTTTTTGGAAGTTTTTGATTTGTGTCTAGTTATCCTCAGTCTCAGACGTGGGCATTGGTGTCAGCTGATTGCCGACCATCTGATCCATCGTCCCCTGCAGTTCAGGGCACGTGCATGGCCCAGACTCGGGCTGTACTGGTGTGACAATTCCAGTCTAGTAGTCTTTTGATCTCAGGCATTTCAGGGTACAGGCAAAACCCATACATGATCTGCAGGGTCTTGAGTTTGTGGACCACCTGTTTCTGTGTCTCCAGTCACTTCAGGACACATACAGGAACAAAATGGAGGCCAGACGGACAGCAATCACAGACTGTCTGTGTTTGCGACCCCCTAGGGTGTCTGGGTGCAAGTAAAGCACGGACTTGAACCATAGGCCCAGAAGCTCTTGAAACACTCACTCACTCGGCACAGGGCTCCTGCAGAGATGGCTCACATGTGAACCCCAATGACAGCAGTCCACGGGGCTTCTGAGTGAGGACTTCCTGTCTGTGGTGAGTGCACGGAGGGCAGAAACTCATACTGTAATGTCAGTGGGGTCCTGGGTCGCCTGCTCTGCCCCCAGAAGTCAATGGGAAATACCTGGCTCTCTCTGTGAGTTTCTGCTGGGATCTGTGGTGGTGGGAGTAAAGCAGGGACCTGAACCACGGGACCAGCAGCTCTTGGAGCACTCACTTACTTGGCAAAGGGCATGTGCAGGGAGGGGCGGCACGCACACCCCAGTGAGAGCAGTCCCCGGGGCTTCTGAGTGCTTACCTCCAGAGGTAATCATTTTTAAACGTGGCTAGCCAACCATGTTGATAAAATAAATTGGTAGGGACCATTCCACTTGAAGTATTTATCTGAAAATGTGACTTCTGGCTGCAGCACACAAGTTTCTTCTTGAGGTGCCGGGCTCCATTCCGGCTGTTAAACTTACCCAGCCGCTGCTGTTTCTGAAGGCTGTGAATATGGTGGGCATGCAGAGCCTCCCACTGGGGCCTAGAAGTGAAAATCCTCATGATGCTATAAAAGTAACACTTGGCCTGGGCTGAGGTCCTGCCAGAGCAGAGCAGGTAATTTTGATGAGTCTCTACAGGATTAAAAGTGTGATGTTTTCAAAGCTAACTTTCACAGGAAAAAGATTCCTGTCTTTCTAAGCATATACATTTTAATATACAGCAATTGGAATAGAATAATGAGGTCACTGCCCTCCTTAATTTTCTTAAACAATGTTCTGCTAGTCTGTTTGAGGATAAAAATGGGTAAGAAAATTGTTCTTGGTAAGTAGGTCATGGTTTTGGATTGAACGAAGGAGATCTAAGGTTTTCTAAGACCTTAGATTTTGTTGATCCTTACTGAGGAAAGTAGGTTGTGAGAATCTACATAGAGCCTGAAGTATCCCAGGCCTCAGCATGAGTGAAACTTGCAATGGAAATTTCCAGTGAGCAAGGGAAACAGATGAATAGATGGGTAGTGTGGTAAGAAATCTACTTTACTTGTAAGCAGCTACTCTGAAAACAGAATGAACTGCCTATAATAGTCAAGGCAGGCTTCCTAAGTGAGATGAGCCTACATCTGAGTTTTAAGAGTAAAGGAGAGTCCCTGAAGGGCTAAAATACAGCTTGTGAGATGGGGTGGGCAATACCAGGGCATCTGTTAGAAATGTAACTTCTTGGGGCTGGAGATACAGCTCAGTGGCAGAGATCTGCCTAGGGTATACCAAACCCTGGGTTTCATCCCAAGCAGCATCTGCCCACACACACCAAATCCTCAGGTCCCCATGTGCTGCTGGGCTAGCAGTTGGGGTCCAGTACTGTTTTTACACTCTCCAGATGATTCTCATACATATTCACTAAAATTTAAGAAATACTGGACTGGAATAAAAAATATAAGCTAGTTACATACAGAAGGTAAACTTGTCACAAATTCTCCTATTGGGCATGAAGTATCTGAATATGTAAGAATTAGAAAACGGGACTTTTTTTTTTTTTTTTTTTTTTTTTTTAGTTTAAAGGAAGCATAGAATCTGATTTCAAAAAGGCTATAAAATTAGGCAGAAGAAAATGGGAACCTTTTATGCTGAGTTTAAAGATTAACTTCTACTTGAGGAGCTGCTAAAATTCTGTACACAAGGCAGAGAGTCTTAACAGGGATAATTTTGACTCCTAGTAGACATTTAGAGAAATTTTTGACTGTCCCAGTTGGTGTGAGGGGAGAGAGATGCTACTCCCACCGGTGAGTAGAAGCCAGAGAGGCTGCTCAGCACCCTACAGCGCACAAGGCACCTCCCCACTCCTTTGTCAAAATGCCATACTTTACACTGGCCAGGGTTTTCATTTTAAAAGATCACATTGGCCTTGCTGTGCACAATGGGCTTGAGAGAATATAGATGACTGGTACAAAGATCATTCAGAAGGCTGCTGTCATAGAGGTAGGGAGGAGCAGGAAGACTTCAATTGCTATGTTATACCTACTGTAATTAAGTGCTTAATTTTATGTTGTTCTAAGCATTTTGGTTAGAGCATTTCTTAAGTTATCATAATCCTATGAGATGGATAATTTGTTGTGCTTATTTTACAGAGAGGGTAACTGATAGTGGATTCAACATCTAGACAAATCAAGGTAAAATATGTTTTCCCTAGGTGAACAAAATTTGAAGCAATGATGAATTTTTCAAACCTAGCCAATAACATGAAATACAAAAAACAAGTGGAAAGTAAAGATTCCACACACATGCACGCGCACACACACACACACACAAAATTTTATTAGTTAGAAATTTTGTGGGAGACTGAAATGTGTCAGACAGGTTGCTTTTGAGGTCTAGAGACCTTAAGTTTGATATTGAAGATATATGCAAAATAAAACCAAGCATCTCACAGCTTGGGAAATCATATCAATCTTACAATTTCTGATTTAGATATTCTAAAGAATAATATATTTGAAAAAGAAAATGGATTCCACAACTAATTAAACCTTTCAAATGGTTGAGAATAGGGCAATATGAAGACTGCAAATGAATTTCAGGTGCAAACCTTCAAAGTACAATGGGAATTTCTATTATACAAGATAAATCTTCAAAGTTAAGGTTCTATGTTATGTAGGAAAAAAAAATGCTATTTAGAATAAACTATTAAATATAGTCATCTTTCTTTCCTGACTGAGATACAGAGTGAAGGAATTACACTTGCTATGAGTATGTCTCCTTCCCATGTGATATAATAGAAATTTAACACGCTGGGAAGAGCAGACATTGGAATATGGTTGCCATGGCGAAGTCTTGGAAACCCTTAGTATTTTCCCCTCTGCTCATTCCTTTGCCCTTACCAGCAGTACAGATTACAGAATATTAGGAAGTAAGAATGCAGCAATTCAAGTGTAGAAGGAGAGCCTCTGGACATATCAGACTACTATCAATACCTGAGCCAGAGGCACACTGAAGGAGAGAACATATAAAAGAAGTCCTATGGCCTTTTAAACTGGACAGGTGAGAGCCTCCTCCCTTCTGTAAGGCTCAGTCCTCTCATCTTCAGAGTAGTGTTTACAGTGTCAGCATCACTGGCTATTTAATTAACTGAGATCATGGACTTAAGATGTTTTACTTCATGCCAGTTTCTTCTCACTTCAGCCTCCCTAATAAATGTTCATGTGTGCGAACACAGGCACACACACATTACATATATTTTAAAAGTATTTTAATATGTGTGAAGTTTCTGGTTAGTTCTGAGTTCACAGATCTAACGCTCAGAACTCCCAGAAGAGAAATTCATTAGAGAAGCATCAGTCATCATCTCTGTGCTTCCTGTTTCCATGACATAAACTTATGCATTGAACTGTTTCATTTATTACCTCTTTTCTTTAATGGGTGCTCTAGAAGCCATACCAATCAAGGTAAGGTCTTTCCATATTCTCTGTGATTGAAACCTATGCATTCACATTATCTCAATATACTTCCTCCAATTTTCCACATCTGTAGAGCAGAGAATGAATATTTTTCAAAGCTGGAAATGTTTCTTATATCCTAAAATTGTGTAAAGAAATGACTGATGATCTTCCTTGTGTTAATAGTTCATGTGTGTTTCTCTTTGTTTCTTCCTGAGGAAATTCATCATATCTATTCAAATATTTTATACCTGAGAAAGTGTGATTAAAATGCTTGGAGAATTAAAGAAGAAAATTCTACAAAATAATAAACCTGAAACAAACAAAAAGAAAAACAGATTTGCTTAAAAAGAACTTACCTGGGGTGTTGTTATTCTACCCTTTTTAAAAGCTAGTATTCACACACAGTGTGGTTTTCTTGCAAAGCTATCTGTCCATAAAGTTGTGGTGGAAATTCAGTCTATTGATAAACTGATATCCAAGCAACATCATGCGATGAAATAGAGGTGAAAAACTTGGCTGCATGCCTCTTCCTGCTTCTGGGTGACATTCAGCTGCATGATTTCATATTTTTTCTTCCAATTTTGTGTCTAATCAAAGGTTAACTTCTAAATTTATTATATCTGTACTATGTACAGACACAGGGGATGAAAAAGCAGAGAGACGGATACCTAAGGTCAAAGGTCAATAAATTCATCATTGCAACATGAGTATTTCCCAAATTTAAGGTCAGTAACATCCATTCTCATTGCTCTGAATGATGAAGGAATAATTCCAAAGTTTAGAGGTATGCACATAAATTTGACTGTAGTCACCTATAGAATTATCTCATAGTTCCAGTTCCTTTTTCACTTTGGAGATGGGGATATAATGTTCTCCACATTTGATTTTGATTAGAAACTGTATAGGAAGATAATGAATCTGTGGCACAAGATGTTCACATTGACTTCATTTCTTCTTTTTTTGATAATTATTATTACAGACTTCCTTCCTTTCTCAAGAATCTTCCTTCTGAATGTCAGTTATCTGCAAAGAGGAAGAGTTCCTAGGGAAAAAATGGGAGCAAAAATACCTGAAGAAAAACCACAAAGTCAAAATTTAAAGAAAGCTGAGGGAAAGAAAAATTACAGTGGTAAGAATTGTGAATTAGATGCTTAAAGAAGAAAAAGCTTAACCAACACAAAAGATTTACAGTTTTTGTCAATAATTTGAATGCAGATCTTCTGGGGAAAAACAGCAAGAATTTACAAATACCAGTAATCCCACAAACCCAATGGATCTGAAGGGTTGGTGGTTCTCTACCAAGAAGTAAATTGACAGTTGTGTGCAAAGTTGACATTGTCAACTGAGTGTTCCTTGAATGTTTTTCCAGGATATGATCCTTTCTAGGGCATACCATATTGATTGATGTACTTCTGCCCAATCAGGAAAATTGTGATAAATCTAGGTATTTGATAAAGATGTCATTTGTTATATGAAATCTCTTTTAGGAATTTTGGAATTGGCTAAATGAGTAAAATGAATATTAGGTTATCCAAGGATGGGCTAGTATGCTAAAGTACTATCATACATAGTGATGAAAGAGAGAGAGAGAGAGAGAGAGAGAGAGAGAGAGAGAGAGAGAGAGAGAAAGAGAGAAAGAGAGAAAGAGAGAAAGAGAGAAAGAGGAAGGATAGGAAGTTCTATCCAGAGCCCATGAACCTGACTTACCAGACACCTTTGCTTCTGTGTTCTTGCTATTATTGCTGTCATCATGTTGCTGTACCAGCTGCTACTGCCACTGATGTGGCTAACACTGATGCTACCGTCACAGAGATGCAAACAAGAGCCATGAAAAAAAAATGGCTCCTTTTCTCCAAGCTCCCGTCTCCTTCCTCCCATTGGTGCCAACTGGTTCTGAAATATACATGGTGCAGTCACCCTGCTATTGTAGCCAAGAGAAGGACATAGAAGGATAAATACAAAACTGAGATGACAGACCCTGTACCCCAAATATAATTATGATAGAGATTATAATGTTAACTACCAGCAGAAATTCTTTATTAACCAGAACTTCTGAGACTCAGATATCTCTGAGATAAGAGGGTTCTTGACCATTATTGGTGCCATCCAGAAAGAAAAATGGACCCTGGGACAGGTTCCCACAGTCTTTAGGAGTACGGCTAGGTGGTAGTTGGAAACGTCTGCTGGATCTAAAAGAACACTATGTACTGACATTTTGAGAAAAATAGAAAAAGTTGTTTACATCAAAGCTTTATTGCCTATAAATAAGACACTTAGGATTGCATGAGAAAGGGAAAGTTTTGGGATGGGGAGCAATCCATAGGAGAAAGAGCTGTTGCCTCAACTCTACGCAGAGTCTAACCTATTCCTCTTTGCACTCTGCTTTCTCGTTGGGCTGCATAGTCCCTTGCATTCAATCTTGTTTGGCGGTGTTGTGTGTGTGTGTGTGTGTGGGGGGGGTAGAGCAGATTAATCTGGGTTTTTTCTCTCATCTTTTCATGGAAAATTACTTTTTCAAAAGGTCAAAATAAAAGTTTTCACATACATAAACTCTACAGAGATCACTGGCCCTCAAAATAAGGAAATTTATTTGGATTCTAAGAGCTCTTTTGGAGTGTAAACTACTTTTAGTGAGACAAAATTACTTTAGACATAGAAGCAGTGATTATCAGCAAAAGAAAAGCTGAAAATGGCTCCCTACATGCTAGGGAGTTCAGAAAAACAGATTTCAGAAAGTTAAGAAAAAATCTAAGATAAAATACACCTCAAGAAGGAATATGTCTAGAAATTTAGTTTTGACTCTATAATCTCAAAAAAATTGAAAGGAAGAAAGAGATATTATAGCAAAAGTAACTAGAATAGTTGCACTGGGAGCTGTCAGAAAATTCTAGACTTGAAGCCAGGTTATAAAAAAATTATAAGGTGGGTGTGGTGGCACACGCCTGTAATCCCAGTACTTGGGAGGTTGAGGCAAGAGGATCGTTGCTAGTTTGAGGCCAGCCTGGGCTACAAAGTGAGATCAAGTCCAGCCTGAACTGCATAGGGAGACTCTGTATCAAAAAGACAAAAAAATTATAATACTTACAAAATATGTTTTTCATTAGGGACCAGCAATGCCTCTCCAAAAAACAAATTCAGTAGCATAGCTGTTAAGTGTTAGAGTCAGGACTTCATCTCCGGAACTAAAGAGAAATATAAGCAGCACACACCCTACTGTAATGGAAAATTATCCCTGCTATTCAGCCATACCTGAAGAGAAAAGGTACTCATCTTGTTATATCCTTGAGGTACATTTTATTCCCACCTGGATTGGTGTTTGGTTAGATAAGAGGAAGCTTCAGTTTCAGGACTAATGGTCAGATTTCTGGAACAGGATATTAGTCTTATTATGCTGAGTCATTGACCTTCTACTAAAGCTCCTGGAAAGTCTTCCTGCAAAGAGGCATCCAGTGGCCAGGCCTGTCAGTCCTAACCCAGGTATGTTCAAATTCACAGAGGATATCAATGTTTGTTGGTCCTTGTCTATGAAAACTCTCTCCACCTATATTCTGATTTTTAAAAATGTGCAGTAGATAAAAATGCCACCTACTATTCAACTGTGATTTATTAACATAACTTTACAAACATTTAAAAGTTAATACTGGCAGAGGTGTATTCTAAGAGTATCATTTCCTTTTAATGTTGTTCTTGTTGTCAATAGATAAGGTTAGGGTTCTGGGACTTTTAGATATTCTAGACCTGCTGTTTCTGAACTTGACAGTGTGCCTTGCGAAATCCTAATGGATAGATAAGTACAATTTCAAGCTTCTTTAAATTTTACAATAAAGGATGCTCAGCAATGGATCAATGACAGCAAGTTTCTGATGTTACACCCTGATCTATTCCAAGTTTTATCAAGGATTTGAATGAAAACATGGCAGGCAAAATTATTAAATTTCATATGATCTATGTGGAATGAAAAATACAGTGGGTCACAGAATTAGGGTAATAAAAGACTTTGTCAGGTTATAGTGACTGGCTATATATAATGGGATGAAATGTAACAAAAATAAAAGCAATTCTTTATGTGGGGTTCAAGAACAGCACTACAGGCACAGTAAATACAAGGGATGTTAATAAGGCACCAGAGCAAATTATGAGTGTGTAAGCTGCACCAACAGAAGCCTAGTTTGTAAAACAAACCAGAATCTGGTGCGCTTTGTGCTGGAACATTATGTTCACACAAGAGGTACAGGTAAGTTAAGACACTGTTGCTGAAATAGAGATGCCAAATCAGACCTGGCACACCTGTTAGAGCTGTCAGTCCTGAAATAGACCTGTGTGGGGGGAAAATGTTGCAAAGAACATTCAAAGGGCTGATATATTTAAGAGATTTTAGTGTTATTCTCCATTTCCCAAGAAGTGAAAATTAGTGTCAATAAGTAGAAGCTAGAGGGGTTCAAGTTTCTGATGGGATAAACAACCTCAGGAAGGAGTGTTCTCCCCATTTCTAGAAATGTTAGAAAAAAAAATTTCAAGTGATGAGAATTCCATGCAGAGTATTTAAGCATTGCCTTGAGACTCTGACCCTATATTTGTTATTCCAAAAGCCGTATGTTAGCCAGAGTGTCCTGACCCTTCCCGATGCTGTCCATCTTTTTCTCCATAAGTTCTTGCATTCTTAGCTTTGATAGAAATAAAAAGATTGATCAGTTCTTGCATGACTTGTTTATTACGCACAATCCTAAGCACTTTACATATATCAACTCAGCTAAGTCTCCTACCAATACTGTGAAGTGGATACCTACTGGTGAGAAAATGCAGTCAAATAAAAGTTAAATAAGCCACATGTTATGGACTTAATGTTGCTTTTGTGTTGTTTTGATTTTGTCTTCATTGTTGTTTTGTCAGTTTTTAAAACCTTTTTAAAAAAAGAATTAGATACACAAGGTACAACTTCCCTATCTGACCTCCTCAAATATCCTCCTCAAATTCAGATGCTGAAAGCCTACATACAGGTACTTAGAGATAGGGAACTCTGGGAGGTAAATAGATTTAGACAAGGTTGTGGGGGTAGAGCTCCCATGATGGGATTAGTGTCCTTACAGAAAGGAAGAGAGACCAGAGTTCCCTCTCTCTTTGCCAAAGGTGAGCACTACCAGAAAGGGGCTGTCAGTGAGCCAGCAGGACCCTTACCATGAGCCAAAGCTACTGGCACTTTGATGTTAGACTGACTTCTGGGTCTCTAGAACCATGAGAAGTCAGTATTTTTAACCTACCTAGTCTACGATGTTTTGTTATAGCTCCCCAAACTAAGACACAGTCTTTTTCTCACAGAACTCAAGCAATCTCATGCCAGCACCTATCTTCTTTCTTACTGGTATAAATTTAGCTCTGAAAAGAGGAGCCAGTGAAAGTGCTTGTCTTACCTCCTAACTTTTGCACAGGGATTTCATTACACAGATGGGATAAGGAGGGGATATTGCAGTGTGGAGAGAAGGTGAATTTGAAAATGAAGGATTCCCTGGAAGAAATGAAGGTTTGTACACATCCACATGGTAGTGAGGAATATGGCTCCCTGGAGGACTACCCTAAACACTGAAGTTTTTGATGAATTTTCTGTAATCTTACCTGAACATCATTGTGAAGTCATAGATAAAATATAACATATAACATCTGTTTACAAACAGAAATGATTCTGGGAAATGTCAAGTATGCTAGCTCATATTGGTCAGCTTTCCACTACTTGACAAAAAACCTGAAATAAATGACTCATAAGGAAGAAAGGTTTATTTGGGCTCGTGGTTTCAGTCTGTGGCTGCTTGGCCTGCTGTTTTGGGCCTGTACCAGCACAGTTCATTGTGGCTGGACCATGGAGTAGAAGAGGTGTTTTCACCTTGTACACTGAGAAAGAGAAGGGAAAGGGCCAGGGGCCCAATAGTCCCTTCAGAGGTGCATTCTCCAGGGCCTCACTTTCTTCTACCAGGCTCTACCTCCTAAAGGTTCTGTCACCTCCAGCAGCACCACAGGCTGCTGACCACACACTCAGCACATGGGATTTTGGGGAGCACTCATGGACTTATACAGTTCTGTTTCATTATTGACATGTATCAGGATATATTAAGCTGATAACAAGAGGTGCCAAATGAATGACAGTTTAAACCAGTAAGGACTTGTTCTTGTCACCACATAGGAAATGAAGAAAGATGGTTGGTGCCATTGGTCCACTGCTTTTGGGGTGGTGTCTGTGATTCCCTTGGCCTTTTCCTCACAGTATTGAGCTGACTGTTTCATTATAACTGAAGATGGGGCACTGAGCAGAGAGTTTATCTTCATGTACCTTTCTCCTGCTAGAGAGGAAATTGAATTCCTGGAAGCCTCCCAGTCAACTTTACCTATTATCTCATAGGCAGGTATGACGGATAACCCTGAAGGTTGACATATTGGATTGAGAATGCCTTGGAAATTAGTAAAAAGCACCTCTGGGTGTGTCTATGAGAATGTTTATAGAAATGATTGCCATGCAGGAAAACAAATGAGGGACAAGACCCACCCTGAATGTAGGCAGCACCATCCTGTAGACTAGAGGCCTGAACAGAATAAAAGCAGCAGAAGGAGGAAGCCTGTCAGCATTCTCTAATCCTCTGTGTTTCCTGGTGCCATCCAGTGAGCAGTTTCCTTCCACCATGCCCTTCTGCCATGAGACTTCTGCTTCGTCATGGGCAGAAATCTAAAAGTGATGCACTGGCGGATGGCAGACTACCACCTCTGAAACTGTAGGCCAAAATAAACCCTTCTACCTCCGAGTTTACTTTCCCAGGTATTTGGTGACAGTGATGTAAAAGTGACTAAAGACAGCAGGTGTATTGCTATTCCTGCTGAACAGTCACAAAACCATC